TTTCCCTCGGGATGCGACATTAAGTCTATATTATCATTATTACTATTTTTGGATTATTCGTCCCTTTTCTCTTTTTTAAAGAAGCCGCCACACCTCTCAAGCTAAAGTTTCATTTAAAAAGTCTTGTTATCACCCTTTATCTAGAGGAAAATAATTTTGTTGATTAAAACTATGTTCACGGTTGAACAAACAAGTCATCTTTAACTGTTTGATGAATAGTATCTCTTGAGAATTACTGCAACAATATTTATTGTAACTGCCATCTGTTTCAAAGCTGGCTGTGGGATAAACCCGCTAGCTTTTGTTGATTCTCTGAAGTAAATATTGTAAAGTAAAGCTATTATTGAATTGTGAATACTATTTTTAAGTTTTTTTCGTGCCTGTAAGGACGTTTTTAAGATCAATTGCAAATTGCAGAAATATGTTGCTTTTGAAATGACCCATCACCTGTTTATAGCTGCCCTGGCTGTATATAATGACAGTTGGCACCCTCAACTGTAAACTTGACTGTGCCATAGAGAATCAAGAAGCGATCATTAAAATATGTAAAGCTTAAAGTAAAATATAATTGTCATCCTTATTTGCCATTGTTGGTCCTTAGATAATCTTCCTGAAAGTATTGTTTAAAATCGTCCAGGCTAATTCTCCCATTTAGCTTAATAATTCTTGACTGTGAGAACGTTCCAAATGGCAGGGCCCCTGTACTGTACTTTTTCTTTTCCAGTTTCGTGCATTGCTGTTGGGGTCAATCCATTGGTTCCCATTCAAGCATGATGATCTAGTCTGTGCCTTTACATTACTGAAGGCCTTTGATAGACTTAAGTGCCTTTTTTTTCTTGAGGATATATTATCATACACCAAAAAAGCATACATTTGAGCACACTTATAGTGACATGGGCAAAAAAACGTCCGCAGTTACTGTTATATTATTCGTCACGATTTTTTGCTACATTTTCGCTCGCCAGTCGTGTAGAGAGCGTCGCTCGTTACACGGTTTTGCCCTCGTTGATCACGTGTACAAATCATTCACTGCAGATCGCCTCGCCGAATGTTTCATTGCCTGTAACGCCCAGTCATCTTGCCAAAGTTTAAACTACGATCTTGTCGACAAAACTTGTCAGTTTAACAACAATACCAAGTATCACCGAGCCAAGTATTTGGTCGAAAAACCCACCTCAGTATACGCAGATAACCCAGATTCTGGTGAGTTGCCATGTATCACAAGTTTAGCACTTGAGGTTCAGTAAAGTCGATGCCAGAGTTTCCTTTCTTTATCACGATTTTATAGTGATTTTACAAAACTATTACGTACCATATCGCCTGTTTTCGAAACTATTTACATTGACTTGAATTGTTTTTTTTAATTAAACAGAATTTTGGCTCAAGCTAAACACGGACCCTGTCTGTTTCAGAAGCAAAAACGATGGCTTTGGCAGATTTAGAGTGAAAGTGGGTGGTTTTGCTGAAGCTGTTAAACTTGTTCACGTTTCTGGGTCGGTTAGTTGTGCATCTGGGAAATGGTCTAAGTGGGGTTGCGGGCCTGGAGGGCCGTTTAGGACTCTTGTAACGACTTCAACTAATCTTATTCTGCTTCCCGAGAGTAAAGAACTCACCTATAGGATTTCAGGATATGATGTTAATTCAAAGGAATTCATTTTTACAAAGTTTTCTAACCCGCTGCGTTTGTCATCCGGACAAGAACTACGATTGTGGTACAGTTTGGATCTTTTTAATCACTCAGAGCATGACAACAAGGGGAAGTCCTGTGCAGACGTGTACGCTAAGTACATTACATCATGAGGCGTCCTGTGCAGACGTGTACGCTAAGTATATTACATCATGAGGCGAGGGCAGCTTAGACAAGCTAAAGTTCTAGTGTAAAGATAAGCTTTGCGGGCACAATTTTGAGGTCTCTCGGCCAAACCATGATCAACATCTTTCTTTTATTGATACTTCGATCAGTTTTAACAAAAACGTTATTATATTTAGTTGTTCTGATACTGTAATATTACAGTTTTAAATCATACTGGGACAAAAGTGTGCGACTGACATAGATCCATGAATGACAGGATTCGGGAAATCAAGGTGATGTTTGGTTGCCTGTTGGTACAGTATTGAGAGGGTCTGGATGTGGGGAGAGGGGTACAAATGTCAGTTTAAATTTTGGCCATTTTTCAGTTAAACTTTAGGCTTTTTGTCAGTTGTCAGTTCAAACGATTATCAATAAAGTTAATAACTAACTGTGAAATTTATTTGTGTATTTTTGATCCGCAATTTGGCTAATAATTTGGAAGAGTATTCCCTTCTAGCAGAGAGCTCATTTCCCTGGTATTGCAAAGACTGAACAAAATTTTTCGTATCTAATAGGTCTAATAGGTCAACACAGATGTCTACCGTATAAGCATACCTTAACGGAAGAAATGAGTGCGTATTGGTCACCCAGACGGACCTTGAAACTAAGGCAATAGCCGCAATATCTCCTCTTCTGCATCGGCTTCTTTGTCATTCAAATATCTCGGTTGTCTGTTAAAACCAGGGCAAATGTCAGTTGTCAGTTGAATTTTAGGCGATTTGTCAGTTGTCATTTAAAATTTTGGCCATTTGTCGGTTGAAAGTTAACCCTATCCAGACCCTCTATTTAGCTGCGTTCAAAATGGAATGATCAAGTCCAGTTTTAAATGTGGGAGGGGAGCGTTTCGATCATTGCATTGCTTATATCTGTGTGGGCGTGTTTAAAACGGTCTGTATTGCAAGATCTGTAATGCTACTCCCTGTTGAGGCCTCAAATGTAATAAATGACCCTAAATGTAATAAAGGTCCTAAGTGTAATAACTTTTGGCCCTAAATGTAATAAAGGTCCTAAGTGTAATAAATTTTGACCCTAAATGTAATAAAAGTCCTAAGTGTAATTCTTTCAGCTCTTTATATACTTAGGGTAATAAGAAGATTTCATAGCGTTTAGCCTTATTACGGGTTAACTGAGCGCCAGAATGCGTCTAGGGAATATCAAACACTAAATACCCCAGGCAGATTCCCTATAT